ATTACACAACATACACAATAGGAGACTAATAAAAATAATGCTTGAATTAATATACCTCTTCGATCTCCTCCAATAGCCTGATATATTTTTTCAGTACATACATTGAACTTCTCCCACCTTTTTTTAAGTTTTTGACTTTGGTTTCCAAATTTGATATTTATTCGAAATTATGTGAAAATATATTTGGAAAGCTTTTATAGCATAAAAAAAAAAAAGGTTGATCACAATTAAAACATATAATTCCAAAGTCTTCCATGTTGAAACCTACGATTTCAAGCATATTATTTCATTGTTTTATAATGCGTAAGGCATGCGATTCTATGTCCAGAGTCAAACGCATGCAAAATGCATGCTATTTAAGGTTGGGAGAATACGAAAAATTATGATAACGTACAAAATATTAAAAATTGCATATTTGATCAAACACCCAATCATTCACCAAACAAATCAAAGAAAATTATGCCAAAAGTTTTAAAATAGAAAATTTATTAATTTGCATAAAGTAAAAAGGTTATAAAATAAAAAAGTGCATATTTGATCAAGAGAAATGATCCTATATGACCTTCGCCCATCCATATGTGTAGGACCCCAAATGATCACCATTAAATTTGGTACAAATCTATAGAAAAGCCAAGTCCTCTACCATGTGATAACTTTTTAAAGATTCGTGCCAACTTTAATGGTGATCGTTTGAGGTCCTACACATATGGGTGGGGGAGGGTCCTATAGGATCATTACTCTTTGATCAAACCTAACATAAAATCTATGAAAAATTAAAATAATTAAAAATAATAGTAATATATTCATAATAAAAGTAAAATTAAATTAGTTAAATATAATAGTAATATATTCATAATAAAAGTAAAGGCTGTGAATGAATCAAAACAAAAATTTTACATGATATTTAGTGAATGTTAATAAATAAAAAAAAGTATTTGAGAAATTTATGTTCAGACACTATTGGGGATCAATTACCAAATGGGCTCACGTTTACCCGAAATTACAAGCAGCACCCCTGAGCTTTTTTTTTCCCAAGTTACTCTATGTCCTATAAAACGAACACCAGACAGGTGGGGTGGGGTTTAAACGTTTCAAAGAAAAACAATTGTCCAGTGTTCAAATTACCGGGCAGCTCTTTACATTTTTAAATTTTAAATTTGATGTCTGGTGTTTGAAATACAGGACATGGGATTTTTCACTTTTGAAGATTGAAGACTCATATCTGATATTCGATATATCGGGCAGGTCTTTAGCTGCTTTTAAGCAAACCGAGTCCCATTTTGCTACTCTGCTCTCTCTCTTTTTTGTTCGCTCTCTGTTTGGTGAAGCCCAAGCCCAAGCCCTAGTCAAGCTCTTTTCTTGATTTGTCTTTCCTAAAGCCAAGCCCTCTCAGTGACATTCGAGCAAGCTTCTCTAACCACAACTGAATCAGATATGTTTCAGATTTTTTTTTTTGGGTAAATGAGATTTGGGAATTAGGGTTTTGGGGATAAAATAACCTCAAAATTTGTAAATGGCAGATTAGGGTTTTGGTGACCAGTTTTAATATAACAAGGTCCACATAATTGATATTGCTTTCTAACTTCATAAGGTCCAGCAAAACCAGAAAATATTAAAAAATGAAAATAAAATAGATCTAGCATAATCATAAAAAAGAATTTTACATCATATGCTACAACATAATCAGAAAAAACATAATAATAATAAAAAATAAAAAAAAACAAAAAAAAACATGCTATACAAATAGTATAATTAGAGAATAAGGACAAACTGATATCAAACGGAAGTAACCTAAAATCTATATTTAGGGTTTTTTCTACAAGATTGCATAACCTTGAACTTCTAAATAAAACAAAACAAAAAACCTTAGTATGAGGATTTATTTTCTATGACCAACAACGCACTCATGCAGGAGCATAAAATATTTGTTATTAACAAAGTAAAATAATATGTCATAACCGAAGCTATCCACTAAATTCAATCAATAAAAATCCATCAAACCCTAAGATTAGATGAACTCAACATTATTTGATAAAATAATATATTTGCAAAAAAAGAACCCACCACTACCTTCAAGGCATTCTGGATTCTTTTTTATTTTTATCAATCAATAGGCATTCATTATGGATTCAATTGAATATTCAACAAGACCTAACAAGGCATATTTTTAATCATAAACAAATAGGAACATGAACATTCATAAGTGAACCAAAAACCCTAATCCGCCATTTACAAATTTTGGGTTATTTTATTACCCCCAAAACTTTTATTTTTCTTCTGAAACATATTTGATTCGGTTGTAGTTAGAGAAGCTTGCTCGAATGTCACTGAGACAACTTGGCTTTAGGAAAGACAAATCGAGATAAGTGTTTGACTAGGGCTTGGGCTTGAGCATCATAAAATAGAGAGCGAACAGAGAAAAGAGAGAGCAAAGCAGTAAAATGGAGCTTTTTTCGCTTAAACGGAGCCAAAAACCTCTCCAATATATCGAACCGGACACGAGTCTCTAATCTTCAAAAGTAAAAATCCCTTTGTTTGATATTTTGAAACCAAACAACAAACTTAAAGCTTAAAAACACAAAGAGATGTTCGGTAATTTGAACACCAGACAACTGCTTTTTCGTTGAGACATATAAACCTTACTTGTCTGATGTTCGGTTTACTGGACAGAGGGGTAACTTGGAAGAAAAAAACCGTTGTGGTGGGGGGGGTGTGCTGATTTTGGGCAAACGTGAGCCTGACCCCTAGTAGTATCCGTACGTAAATTTATTTAAAATCTTTATAAGATTCACATTGATTATATTATTTACAAAGCATGTTAGTCCCAAATAAATAAATAAATTGGAGGAAATCACTTAAATATTTTCAAGCACCCAAATATTCTAAAATAAATAAACAAAACAAATGATACATAAAAAAGGAATAGTAAAATCATGAAAAAAGTATATCAGATAATTTACAACAACATATATGCCCAAACAATTTACAATAAAATAAATGTGTACCTTACAATCAACTTCAATATCAATTCACAACCAAAGAACGGAAGAAACACAAAGTGTATCTAAATGTTGAACTATTCAACATTGAAAAAAAGGAAGAGAAAGTCAATCCAAATGTCAAAAAAAAGAGAAAAATTAGACAGAAAAAAAAAAAAATGTTAGCCTAGACCGCAGCTCCATCTATTCAAGAAAATGTCGTTATGGCCCAACAAAACCGTAAAATTGATGATCTTAATCTCAAAAATTATGGTTCTAGAAAGAACAGATTTCAAACTCTAAAAGAATTTGTATCTTGCAATGTAATATACCAACCATCCATTTTCAAGCATTTACAAAACCACCAGTTCTACACTACTTTTGGAGTTTCAGATTTCATAACAAGGTGACAAATAAATTTCCAAGCATCTTAGGGATTTTTGGCGCCGAAAAGAAATTTCATAGTAGGATTCACACAATGACTTTATTTTTCATCGCAAAATTGGGGCCTTGTGCTAATTGCACCCATAAAAATACATATAACTTGCAAAAAAAATATATGTATAAATGAATTTAATGCAACATACCCCTTAATCCCCCTCAATTTACATCACAACAATAAGGTAAAAAAAAATCAATGACAATTTGGAATAGCTTAATACCACAAAAAATAGTAAAAATAGGAAAAGTAGATACTAAATCAAGGTATTTCATATAAGTCAACAGTAAAAAATGAAAGAAATGCCCAAAGCATTCCATTAAAACCCATCTTTGTAATTTACAGGTACATTGGATGTGGCAATATAAACATATGCTCTCCTACATCTCTTACTATTAACACATGCATAAACACACATTCTTAATAAATATTCAAAATTTGGATTTATTTGACTTATTCTTTTATTTGGAATTTGATAACATGGAGGTTTCTCTATATGGATCTTTTCCTTTTCTGCTTGATAGTATGGTTTCCCACTCTTAGCATTGAAGTTCGCATGGAGTTATGCTTTTGTATTTCTTTGTAAACCAATTATTATGTTTATTTTTTTGGGAGGGAATTAAGTGCGCAATATTGGTTCCTACCCGTTTTTTTAAATAGTTTAAGAGTTAGTTTTTTTTTAAGGTGTTAGTGACGTGGTGTTAGTAGGAATAAAAAACACAACATAGTGATTAGTGTGTCGTGGTGCTACCACCATAGCTGCAGCTAATAAAAATAAAAAATTCTTATATATTTTCATAGTTCATTTATTTTATCTGATTTCTTCTATTGGATATCAAGATTAGTATGCTTTCCTTTTCATCTCTCATGTGCAATGTGGTTAATGCCTATTCACCACCAAGCTTATCTCATGGATTCCTGGGGTAGGAAGCATACATGTAAGAATGTGAAAATAGGCACTTTTTGGTAGTACAGTTTCCCCACACTTTCAAATTTATTTTGGAGTTTATAATTGAAATCTTAACATTATTTGAAATAGACTATTTCAAATGAAATGGCTCCAATTTAGGACCAACTTGGTATTTTATAAATAATCCGAACCTATTTGGTATTTGGGAAAAAATGACTTAATTTGAAGGAATGGGGTTTATATGAGTCAGCCGATTTATGCTGTTGATATGCGGGCCCCCAGTTAAACCTATTTTAAAAATAAATTTTTAATCTAAAATTATATAGATTAAGATGATCATGAATATGGAAAAATAAATAAAAATTTTAATATTTAACATGTGATTTTCAATAAAAATGTCTACACTGTCTAAATTCATTTTAACCCTGTAAGGTTTTTACGTCGTCCATCTCTAAGATGGACGTTAGTGGGTCCGCGGCCTCATGCACCCGGTGACTCACGATTATCTTTTCCAATTTCGATGGTTACAGCTTTCAACTATAAAATGGGGCTTCTCCCTCTCAATGCTTGGGGTTTTCGCGCTACCAGCCTGACAGGACTATACTGTTCTTCAACTCATATGGACTATATTATACTTTTGGCCGACTTATAAATATTTCAAGTTTTCAACTATAAATACGGCTTTTCCTTCTTGAGAATTAGGGTTTCTGCGCTAGTGTTTCTCATCGTCATTTGGCAATTAGGGTTTGATATTCTGCTTGTGTCTACAAATTAGGGTTAGGGTTTGCGTTGAACTTTGAAGCCATGGGGCATTCAAATGTTTGGAACTCACATCCCAAGAGCTATGGCCCTGGATCTCGAACCTGGTAACAAATTTGCTCCATATTCACTGTTCATTGTTTCTTTCTTTCTTTTTTGCTCTAAATTCCTTACTCTTGGTTAATCTTTTTGGCAGAGGTTAGTAATATATATCGTTGCTTTTTCCCTCTATTATTATGCACATAAGAAAGCTATCGCTTTGAAGTGTACATGAATGTCTTAAAATTTACCAAAAAAAATTATTTACTTTTGATTCATTTTGCATTTTAGGTTTTTCCCCCTTCAACAAATACAAGCTCAAATAGAATACATGTGATACTTGATGAATTGTATGGTTTAAATTCTCTGATTTTGTCTGGCTTTAATCTAACAAAAAAGGTTTGCATTTTCTCTGTCTCGTGTTTTTATTTCTTCTTTTTTTTTTTCCTGGTGAATACGTATTCTATAGTTTCATGTTTGTTGTTATCTTTTGTTTGTTGCGAAATCTAAAGATTGGGTTTGCTCTTTGTCAATTTCTTTCTTGTTCTTCTTTATGTTTCTAATGTATCTGATAAAGATACTTTGGATATAATATTTGGTTATGGTCATATTGATTTAAGATACTTGGGTTGCTCTTTTTCCTTTTGTCCTTAAATCATCTGATAAATATACGATTATGAATTTAGCATCAGGTTTTGGTTAAGTTCAATTGTCTTTTTTGGCAATGATGAAGAACTTTATATTTATGTCTGGACATCTGAGACATGTCTGTGATTGTTAAAAATTCTTCTGAGCTTGATATGGAAATAATGATAATTGTTTTAAAAAAGCATTGGAAATCTTTACAGTAAAAAAGTATTTCAGGTTTTCCTATCTCCCTGGCGTTTTCTTTGCATATGTAATATTTTTACCAGTTCAGGCTTTGCATTACTGATGGAAAAAGAAAAGGGACCTGGTTGCTGAAGGGTGCCTTACCAAGCATATGTGAACAAACTCTATGTGCTATCCGATGATTCAACCAATGTTCCTTTTGTGTCTTCCAGTTTTCTGATGAATATACATATTTATGAATTTAGCATTAGGTTTTGCCGATTTGGTCAAGTTGAATTATCTTTCAGCAACCATGAAGATTTTAGCATTTATGTCTGGACATATGAGGCATGTCTGTGATTGTAACTCTTTATTCTGAGCCTGATAATATGCATGATACGGTTTTAAATATATGTTGAAAACCATACAGTTTGATAGTAAGCATTGTTGGCTGTTTGGAAATTTGATATCTTTAGGGGCAGTTCTGGTTTTACCTTTGTGGTGGATGGGTATTGGCTGCTGAAGAGTGCCATATGAAACCTATGTGAACCAAGTCCCCATGCTGTCCTATGAAAACCCATATCCGTTTCACTCCACCTTTTCTTTGGATAATAGAATTCTTGTTATAGTTTGTCACGAGAATTTATAGTTATGTTTTGCATCATTCTGAACCACATCATTTTTGTATTACTATTTTTAATATTTAAATTTCTAGTTAATTTTCTCAATGAAGAGAAAAGGCCGACTGGCATTCAGAATCTAATGCTGAATTCAAAATCAATAGTTGTTCTTTTCATCATTCTGTACCATAGTAGTTTTCTTTTTTACTTTTTTTCTGAATTTTGCTATTTTTCTGAATGAAGACGAAAAGCGGACAGGCATTCAGAATTTGATGCTCTGTTGAATGTCTGCAATTCATTTTCGAAGAGATTTTCATAATGCATATCATTGACAATGCTAAGCATTGGTAAGCAAAGACAGATTTTTATATTATTATGTTTTTTTGTCCTTATTTGTGGGTTTTGGAACCCAAAATAATTGGGATAAGGCTTGGATGATGATGATGGTAATTTGTGGGTTTTGGGACTTACAGTGCGGTATAATTTAATTTTGCAACTTGGATTATCATATCTTGTTTCGTTCCTTTTTTTTTGTACCAGTTTGCTATTGGATGACTTTAATGGACTTACGTTATGAATCTTTATTCTTTAATTGGACATCATAGAAAATATCCCTTTATTTTTCATAAATTCAAGATAGTATGTTTTAGTTTCTGAAACTTTTAAAGGATATTTCTGATAATTTCCCTTTTCTACTTTCAGAGAGAAGGTTTTTGACTTATTGTTGATAACTGCAAATTTCTATTAGACAGAGGCAGCAAGCCTCGCCCCCTCCTTTTCCTCCTTCTTTCTTTCAATAACTTCTCTGTGTTTTTTAATTGAAATTTCAGTTATAGTTCTGTTTCACTTTGGAATATGCTTTTGGTCCCTGTGTAAACTAGGAGCATCCTTTCTTGTATATTCATGTGGAGTAAATTATTAGATGATAGGATTATTTACATTATACACTTGATGTGTATGCTATTCTTCTACACACAGACAGTCATCCACCGCCCATTCCCTAGACGGAAAGGTGATGGGCATTTCAGGGCTTCTTTATGTATTATGATTCTTCCTCTCTGGCGCATCTTATGAACTGTGTGAAGTATGGATAGGTTATTAGATGTTCTGCCTGTGTGAGCATGGAAATGTTATATTACTTTGCCATATGTAAATGTGCATCCCATAATTTTAGTAATTATAACTGTTGACAATCGAAGCTCCTTTTTTTAGTTGCTTTCAATCAAGCTCTTTGGCGCATCTTATGAATAGGCCATGGATGTTCTGCCTGTGTGAAGCATAGAAATGTTATATTACTTTGCCATAAGCAAATGTGCATCCCATAATTTTGGTAATTATAACTGTTGACAATGGAAGCTCCTTTTTAGTTGCTTTCAATCAAAGCTTTGTTTTGTTTGAATCAAATTCTAATGATAATATCTTGGCGTTTCTATATGTTGCTTCAGCCGAGTATGTGGGAACTCCCATGGGTTGATCAGGAAGTATGGACTCATGTGCTGCAGGCAGTGCTTCCAGAGCAATGCCAATGCAATTGGCTTTGTCAAGGTAGTAAAACGTCTTTGTTGTGATGGGTATAGTAGCTGCTTTTACTGGATCTTATCTTTTTATCTGATTTTTCTTTTTCTTCCTTTTTTTTTTGTTTATTGGGGGCATCTTTCTCATGTTCGTGCTTGATGTTCTCTTTTATGTTCCATATCTTTGTTGTTCTTTTGTTTGGTTGTCTGACTCATTTGAACATTTTCTCTTTTCCAGTACCGTTGAAGGAGCATGATTCTTGATGGAGAAGAGTCTGCTGTTCCTTAACCAAATCGGCTCTTTCTTTTATTTATTTTTTCGTGTTCTCTTTGGAATTCGGTCCTGATTTTAGTGTCTCAGAAGTTTTTGCCATGTACTCTTTACTTTGAATCGAAGAGACCTGTGGTTGTATTGCTGTTGGTGAATTAATTGAGCACCAAAATTTTATTTAGTTATAAGAGTCACTTTAAATTGTTTTGTTTTTTTTACCTTTGCAAGGGCCTTATGTTATGTACTTTGGGGGGGGGAAAAGTATACAATGAGACCCTTTACCTTTGAAATAAGGTTATTATCACCCCTTGTCATCAGATCAGGCGGCGGGCTGGGCTGTGGTAGTGACTACATTTTTTTCAATCCAGCAACTTGATTTCAATTATGATTTATTGCAACGGGATAGTATACTAGAGATTATTTACCTTTGTTACGAGGTTTGGGTCTTTTGGGTTAGGGAGGCGAACATATTACATGAGAATGAAAAATTTTATACATGGCATCAACCTTGTCAAGGTGTATCGCAAAACCCCATTGGTAATGGATGTTATGGTGAAGCATTGAATTGATCATTTGGACACATGCATATGAAAAGTAATGCATTTTAAGTTTCAAAAATAGTATATTTTGTGACATATTAATTTAGATCGTTCATTTCAAGATTTTTAAGTTTTTATAGATTGTTTTGATCTTGTAGTATTTTTTTAATCTTAAATTTCATAATTAAGGTGAGGCATGATTGGGGGCATTGAGCATTGGAATTGTAGTCCATCAGGATTTGATGGTATTTTATTTCTATTTAAATTTTTTTCTATTTAGTCCTAAAGTTGTGGCCTAAACAGAATCCCCATGTTCAAAGTGGCAGCAGGTGTGGGGAGTTTTCTCTTCTCAAAATCACGGAGTATGCCATAGCCGGCAAAGAACGCAGTTGCATTATTAATGAATGATACATTTTCAACTCAATATCATCTCATGGAATGCCATGTTATCAGCAATATCATATCATGGCTATATCAAAGAGAGGCTTCTCTCTAATCGATGCCAAAGACTTGGTTCATAATGATCAATCGGGTAGTTCGAAGAAGCTCTTTGAGATACCCTAATACATGATATTTATTTATTTAATATCCAAGTGGACAGTTAAACGTATACGGAAAAACACATATTATGATAGTATAAAATGTGAATATATAAGACGCAAAGCAATGTCTTTATTCAAATTTTTAAATATTTTAATAATTATAGCATGTTTTATCAAATTGAGAGATCTACTTGTACAAACCTGTTGGTTGAAATCTTGGGTCCTATAAATACTCTTAAATAGAGTTTTCATGTGAGGGATCACATTACCTGTAGGAGCTTATAATCTTTTAAGTTTGGTCAAAACAAGAGGAAACAAGTATGAATGTTGAACCTTTAATAGGCTCACTTCTACTTGAATCTAGTTTCGTAGCTGCCTGGTTCTTATTACATTTAAGTAATCTCTCTTGCCCTCTCCCAAATCAAACAAGGCTGGCATGCTCCAACGTAGTAAATTACTTTGGATGTTACTTGCAATATCCACAGTCGACGAAGAAGGGTGAGGGCTTTAAACTTTTTATTAACCCGTCTCAAGTCTAGGTAAAGGGTTGGAATGTGTTGTTGGAATTTAGTTGGTGAAATGGGGGCAAAAAATGGTACAATTTGCAAAATGATATTTCAAACTCTTCTTGTTTTCGGGTACGCAGGAGTGCTATCGCCCCTTTCGATATAGTATTAGACGTGCATAAGAAGGACAATTCGTCCTCGGGGATACAGGAAAACAAAGAGGTCTTTTACAATGTTTTTAAACTCTATGCACCCAAGCTTGGAACCCACACATGAGACACCAGATATCTAAAAAAGTTAAATCCCACACCTATGTGATAACTTTTTTACGGATATGTGCCAAATTAAATGGTGATCCTTTGAGGTCCTACGCACATAAGTGTGGGAGGATCTCATAGGATCATTACTCGTTAAAAAAAATTATAAGTTTTATATTTTTTAACCTATTAAGCTAACTTTATCTCATTTAAATCTATTTTTTTGTCTCAAACAAATATAAAAAAGGCATATCCTTTTTAAACACCATACTTTCTATCTTTACATGATTTTCTCTTAAATTTATCTCTCTACTTATTTTCCCACTTTATCCCCAGTGTAAAAGTCAATCAAGGGGTTAGGAGATATATTTTAAATATTTGGATCTATTGAGATATGAAAACAAAAAATAAGGGATACAATGATATTTCTCTTTGATTTTAACTATTTTTGTAGTTTAAAATTTGATAATTAGTTATAAATACATATTTTTAGATAATCCCAAGACTTTTTTACATCCAAATTACATATTATGATAAATTTTGGATCACCTTAATTGGATTGTTTAATGTTACAACTCTATAAACCACACCCAAAATTAAAATATTAATGTATTTAACTATATTTAAATATATTTCATAAATGGGGATCCAAAAAATATCATTGAACCTGGATCCAAACACCACAAGACCCAAATAATATTCAGGATCCAAAAATAGGACTGAACCCGACCCGTCAGGTCCAAATTTTAAACCCATACCCGGATCGGGTCTACCCCTCGAGTCCCGGAGCTATAGGGACCCCGCGCTGCCACTTTATGTGAAAATTGGAAATCGAGCCCTAAAGTTGAAACCTTTATTGCCGCCCCGAGGTTCAAAGCCAATCTTAACCTGCCATTCCTGCTCGTCCCACAGAGACGCGGCCCTGCAACGTCTCTCCTCCTCCCGCCCATGGTTCACACTCTCCTTGTCGCTCTCGCCATTCAGGAACCCTAATATTTCGCTCTGGACGGAGGATAGCAGGTACGCCCATTCATCTCTATCTTGGTCTCGGTCTTGGTCTCTTTGTTTATCTCTCTACAATTTCCGAAACGCTCAGCCTCATTTTCTGTTGTCCCTAGGTATTATTGAATCTTCAGATGGTTTTGAGTCTTTCTCTAGAACTTAGAGATGATTTTCTTCTCTCTCTCGACATTTTGGTTGGACGTTTCATTGATTTCTCACTAGAAGTTTAACAGGTTTTTTCTGTTAAGATTAGTTTTGCATTAGAGAATACCCGAATCTAATATGCGATTTTTCTGTTAAAGAGATTATACGGAATATCAATACCCAACTTTAACAGGGTCAAGTTGGTTTGCTCTACTCATTGAGCTGAAGAATCATTCACAGGCTTGTTGTCTAGTTTCTTATTTTTTTCTTCAAATTTTTCTGCATGTTTGGTCTTTTTACCATGAACATGCTGTTCATATTGGTATTTTTTCTTCTTTTTTTGCTTTGTATTTTTTTTGCACTGTGTTGTGAGGTGTGATTCGTTTTTGCCTCTTTTGAGGTGGTGTTATTTTTATTTTTGCACTGTGTTGTGAGGTGCGATTCTTTTTTGCCTCTTTTGAGGTGCCATTATTTTTTTAATGTGTTTTTGAGGTGGAATTTGATCATGTTTTCGTGTGATCTGATTCTGGTTTTTCATTATCTGCTAATAGTTGGCAACCTTGTTGATCTGTTATTCCTCTGTCCATTGCTTGATTGCTTTGCTATTTCTGTAATTTTTCGCATCTTAAGATTCTTCGATGTATATTTTATTCAATATATCCATGATTCATTAGTGCTCATTTTTTCCTATGCACTTTTTTTAAAAATTTGTGCCATGGATAAGTTGATCAGTGAACTATTTTGTTCCATAATTTTTGTTGCGAATTATGGCTATTATTATGTGGAATTGCTATGGGTGGACTATGTGGTTCAAATGAGTGGTTGGATTGAAATTTGTTCTCCTTTTGTTTTGTTTTTTTGGGAGAAATTGTTGTGTTAATTTCGTTCTTTGGATTCGATCGGTGTTTCACTTCTAGTTGTCGATATGCTCTCCCTGTTTTTTGGGCTCTAAATGTTCAATGAGCATTGCACACGAATGAAGTGTTAAAACAAGTTGTTTCCTGCTTTCCCACTACCGAATAGTTGAAAATGGTAGCACCACAATTTATCAAACAGGGTTCCCCCTTTCAGGCTACCAATTTTCACCTTCTTCCCAGATTTAAGGAAAGTCAGCATAGAGAATCCCAGGGAAACTGCAGAGAAAGTTATCAAATGCACCCTAGGTCTCTCTCTCTCTCTCACAAATGAGCATCTTGAGGGTTCCTTGCTCTCTCTCTCTCTCTCTGAAGCTAAGGGCTTGCCGTCTCTTTGAAGTAGAAAATTCATAATCCCACAGTCATCTCTCTCTTTCTCAATAACT